TGATTGGGCGCAGAGGATGTAAGGGAAGTTGCATAGAGGCATTTCGTTTCCTTTTAAAAGTGTTCTTCTCTTGTTTCTCCAGCTTCTTCTAAGCAATTTCAGCAGCCTTTTCCTCTGTCTGAACCAATGCCTCGTTCATGATACCCAGATTCTTTTGAGAAATCTCTCCAGTTTCTTAGAAGGTTAGCAAGCATTGGATTTGTGCAGAAAATCTCCCCAAACATTCTGTGTGCACTTCACAGAAGCGAACAATTTTTTAAGACATTCAATACTGCATTTCTTTGCAAGATTTCAGGAGTTGCGGCCTTTGTTCTTTATGACTGCCTGACCAATGAAGGTGGAGTAGATAACGAAGCCTTATTTTGGGTTGTTACACCTTATCTTCAGAGCTCTGGAAACTTGGTCCCTTCGCTTAGCCCTGGGAATCACTCAGACTCGGGATTAGCTGTAGTTCATTTTTTATAAATTCTGAATAGTGTTCCATCATAAACCATGCTTTCTTTACCATTTGTCCATTTACATACAGATGCTGTTTCTTTCTTGGCTGTTTTGATTAATGTGTGCTATCTTTACATTTCTCTTAGTGTTTTGCAATCCTGTAAATGAAAGTTGTATACCTTTTTATTTTCTCCTTTACTTCTGTTGGAACATTTCCATCCGTGACATTCCTCAGTGATTAATTACTACAGAAATGAGAGAGTTTGTGGACGATGCACAATTCACCACTTAGTTGCATAGGAAACACATGAATAACAGCCCCACAATTGAGTGAGAATTGTGTCATCCAAACAGGTTTAAAATACATTTCACTTGTTGTCCATTTCTTTAAAAACTGAACAACTACAGTTAGCCTTAATTTAAAAATATTTCCTAGAAGTGAGCCCCCACCTCACAAACACTATTCTCACTATAAAGAGTTCTACAGAATATGTAGGCAAAAAAATTATTTCAGTAACTGCTGTTTAATTAGGGCATCTCTCTGCTAAAATGACTATGTTGCTTTTCAAGATACAGTGCTCACAGTTTTTATACTAAGATATTAAATATGAAATATATATTTGTAGTCATCTCTAACAAATGAGAAAAGTGATATTTGAAATTTATAATGTAAATGAGACTCCAGTTCTTTCTTGGAAGATAAAATCAATAAACGTATTCTCAGAAGTAAAATATACTCATTTAATAATCTTTTAAAATATTTCCCAAACTGGAAATGTTAGTGCAAACAGAAGATACACTTCACCATACGGATGTTACTAGGTTGATGATGGAAACATGTTATACAGATGTTACTAGGTTGATGATGGAAACATGTAGATCCATATTATAGAAGTAATTTCTTGCAATTTAGTGCCCAGAGTGTTATAGGTAGCAGGGATCAAAAGAAATAAATCCATATTAATGAAACAATCACTTATTGTTTGTCTACCATTTACTGACAAGTATACTGGTCCTTCCCTGGAGAGGAAGATACCAGGAACACAAATTAATAAATTAATAGTTTAATAGAGTATTTTAAAGGCCATATAATAATTATGCCTTGCATGTTACTGGAATGTATCATAAATCCCCGCCACTTCCAAAAACAAATTTGTCACGTCAGCAAAGTGTATTTTATTGTACAGGAAAGAAAATGAAAACATTCAGCTATCTCAAGTGTTAAATGTTCTCTAGTTTTCTTGACTTGGTAAATTTAAGTCCGTCAGGTAAGCCTCACCTTTAAAATGGATGCTTTCGTCTCTCAGCCCGCATTTGGGGTGGATCGTGTCCTAACTGCAGTTAAAAACCTGAAAGATCCTCTTTTTCTATTTTTAAACCCCTTAATGACATCATTTATTGTCTACTGGAAATCAATTTAGGAAATCATGTTAGTCCACTAAGCACTTCAGATAAGGTGGTTCCATGAAGCATTCCAAGATTATCATAAGGAATTGCTTGCGTGTGCCATAAAAGAGAAAGAAATAAGCAGAATATGGCTTGCTGGAGAAGTTTACAGTTTTACAGCTCCTCCCACTGCACCACATAGGTCACTCACTGGGTTACAGTTAACTTTGGATTATCACTCACAGATTGAAAGCCAAACAGCCATCGCACACAGCTGGGTGTGCTGCCACTTGTATGTGTGTTTCTCAATCAATGATGAGGGTATCGGAACCGATACTGGACATGGATATGGCAAATTACAGTGAAGTTTTGGATCCAACTTACACAACTTTGGAGTTTGAAACTATGCAGATTTTGTATAATTCGAATGGTGAGTGTCCATGCAGACCGAGAGGATGATACGGAATGGGGGAGTCAAATTGAGCTGCTCTGGGGTCGCTCTGGGTTTATTGCTGGAGAAAGACAGGACTTGCTTTTAAGGCCACGAAGCGGAGCTTTTCCATTACATCACGAACTTCAAATTTATAGTACTTCCGACTATTTTATGTATAGTATAGGAAAAAAAAAACCTCGTGTGTAATAAAGTAACCTCGGAATTCTGTCCTGGGTTAGTTGGGTAAAAAGATTAGTTTGGGTAGCTATTTTGTTTTCTGTATATCAGAGCAATATGTAAGACCGGCCATAAGGTGTATTTTCTGTGCAGTACTTAAGATGACATAGGGGATTTAGATTTCGACAGACCACAGAAGGGTTTATCTGGTTACCTCCTTTCATTATACTGGTTCTCAATTGTTGCTGAGAAGCTACAGTCAAAATTGCAACGGAGGTTTTTGGCATTAAACAGAAAAAAATGAAAAGAAATTTAAGGTTTATTTTTATAACCTGCTTATAAAGCTAATGTTTAGCCTAACACAGCTCTTGGTATTTATCTGCTGTAACATTTTAACTTAAAATAAGACATGGATTATTTAAGGTCTCTGTCTTTATATAAAAGAGTTTAGTATTGATACTTATGTTTTTAAGTGAAATTCTTATTTATGATAAGTTAAAATTATTAGAATTTTTAACATCTACAAAATACTGTATTTTGGAATGTGTGTGTTCAGCTCAAGACTGAAAATTATCTTATATTAAGATATCTTAATGTTTTTCCATGTTGTATAAATTATATGATTGCTGTTATGTTTACAGTAAACAACAGCTTTTTAATGGGAAGATTTTTTAAATTGACAGAAACTGAACTTTCATAATTTATTAGAGTTAAAATGAACCTCTAGTGAAACTCATAGGAAGTCATTATTTAAAACCTCTATATTTGATTTGAATAGATATTTAGTAAGGTATTTATCTCAACATAACCATGATTAGTTAAATTTTGAAGATTATTAAACATATTTACAAAAATAAGTTCCATTAAAAAGTATTTAATAATTTATTTCATTATAATAATGCTGTTAATTATATGTAAGCATGACATTAATGGAGATGTTACTGGGCCTGCTCGAGCAAATCGATGAACAACGGGAGGACAGCGACAGTGACATTAAACTTCAGCAAATTAGACATTTTTGTAAATTTCTACAAAATTTCCCATAATAGCAAACCTTAATACCTGAAGCTGCCATATTTCCAAATTTCTGTTTTGTTACCCAGAGAAAAATGTTAATTCTTTAAGTTCTGTAATGTCACACCTACTCATATTTTGAACTTCTTTTCAATTTTATCAAATTATATACAATAGTGTTTGTCACTCAAAATAATTATAATATACTTAGACTATATGTATTGTCAGAATTAAATTGGGACTTGACAGGTTTTAATTATACCTTTTTATATGTTGTAGATAGCATGCTTAATTGTTTTATGATTATGTTATGCAATTTTATAGTTTGCTAATTTATTACCCTATATTTCAATATATTTTAAGTATGAACATATCCTTTAAGATATAGTCAATTATATTGATATTTAAGAAATCTTTAAAATATCTATGTGTATAGGTAATAAATAAGTAAATCAACTATATAATTTAATAAACTGAAATAGTTTTACAAATTAAGTGAAATTATAAGTTCTATTTGAAAGGCAGATGAGAAGATCCTCTCTTAGATTTTTAAATAGAGACTTGTTGCTTGGTTGAATATAAAAAATAAAGGAGAGATTCAGTGAGGATTCTAATATTATTGGCCTTATGTCCTGAATACTACCATTGAATGACAAAAGAAACACAAAAGAAAGAGTAAGTTCTAAAGGAAAACTGGAGTGCTGTTGGTACTTTTTCTTTTTTGAGTAAGATCATAGGCTTACAATTTATAGTTTGAATACTGATTCATAACTCTGTAAATGTCCTGTTAATACCGTATCCTGCAGCAAAAGTTTGACTTCCATCCACTACTTGCCAATTGACCCTCTCCAACTCTTTCTTCCACCTCTGCTCATTCCTTTTATTTCTACTAATGATCTTTTTTTGTTGTGAATCTAATGGTGTGGTTTCGTTCTGTTCTGTTGGCCCATATAGTCCATATATAAGTGATACATATGGTGTTTTTGTTTTTTGAATTACTTCTCTTAACATAATCATTTAAGGCCCTTTCTAATGGCATTCCACTTTAACTGACTATGGAACTTGAAAGTAGTTAAATCAATATTTTGGTTATTTCACTATGATAGGTAAAGCATTATGACTAAGTATAAAATTTGTTGTTGTAATTTGTGGTGCCAGGAATCAAACCTATAGACTCATACATGCAAGCCAAATTGTCTATCAGTGACCCTTCCTCAGCCCCAAGAGAATAAATGTGGAGATTTCTTACCTTGATGCACAATGATATTCAGTGTTATTGAATTTGAGGAGCTCCTTGTGGGAAAGATAGTAGTTGGTGGTCTGAGTCCTTTGGTTGTCCAATATTTTATTGTCAGAAATCCTAGAGGGATTGGAATAGAGAATGGCCAAAGAAAAGAGACTGTGGGTGTTGTTTTGTTTTGTGTTTTGTTTTTTAAAAGCAATATTTTGAAACCTTCAAGAAGCCAAGAAATGGACTACTCTGAGCCTATCAGGTAATTAAATCTAATACTAAGTTGTATTGTGAACTCTCTCTTTCTGCTTTCTCTCACAGACAGTTCTGCCCCAGAGACCACAAGTATGAATACCACAGACAACGGTGTCAACTGTCTTTGTGCTATATGTGGAGACAGAGCGACAGGAAAACACTATGGAGCATCAAGTTGTGATGGATGCAAGGGCTTCTTCAGACGTAGCATACGCAAGAGTCATGTTTATTCTTGCAGGTATTTGAATTGCTCCTCTCAGGAAAGAAAGTTATCTTTAGAGGTGGTTCAAAATGGCATCTGAAAAGCTTCTGTTAACCTTCAAAAAGAAAATCTATAAGCAGCATTCAGGGTGAGAAAGTGAAGGTGTATATGCAATATCCAATCTCATACTGGTTCATTTTAATTAAATATTGCAGATATTTAATTAAAAGGGTTGGAGCAATAGCACAGTGGGTAGGGCATTTGCCTTGCATGTGGCCAACCCAGGCGACCTGGGTTCAATTCCTCCGCCCCTCTCGGAGAGCCTGGCAAACTACCGAGAGTATCCCCCCCTTACAGCAGAGCCTGGCAAGCTACCCATGGTGTATTCAATATGCCAAAAACCGTAACAAGTCTCACAATGGAGATGTTACTGGTGCCCGCTCAAGCAAATCGATGAACAACGGGAGGACAGTGCTACAGTGCTTTAATTAAAAATTGTATCAATCATAAAACAGTCAAAGATATCCACATACTTTCCATCCAGCTTACACCAGTAATAATTGAAGCCTCTAGCAGACTCTTCCCCATTACTTTTCTTCTTCTTAGAAAAAACTAGTCTTAACATTGTACTTGCTGTTTTCCTTGAGTTTCTTTATGGTTTTACTACATGTTCATATCCCATTAGACATGTATTGATCTGTATATAAATAGCTCCACGGTGTTTGTTTTTAAGCTTTTCTTTTTGTATGTTGGTATATCTGTGTCTTTCAAAACAAAAATAGAAAAATACAGATAAGTTGGGTATTGTCTGATGTTAGTGAATCAAATTTAGTTTTCAATCTTAAAAACTTAAATGTATTTTTAAAATATTTTCCATTAAATTTAGGGGTTTTGTCTAAAACTTACTATGTTGTAGGTGTCATCTGTTTCTAGGAATTTTTTAAAAATACTCTTCATTCATCATCATAGCACAATGAAGGGATGGAGATACATTATCACAACTGATCAGAATTTCAGTACTTGAATGCAGAGTACACCTACTCTAAGTATGAAGTACTAATATGACCAATCTGTCAGCAGAAATATCTGTTAGTTATATAGATGAAAGATGTAATGTAAAGGATTGTTATCTTGTTTTAGGAACAAATTGGGCATTTGAAATAGTTTACTTATCTCAGGATACAATGCCTTTGATTTCTAAGAGTGTGGGGAAAAGTTAATATGTAACAGTTGAAATATCCAGCTAGTGTTCTCTAGTAATTTGTCTAGGAGAACATTAAGTAGGATAAAAATTGTAAACCTAGAAAACAAAAATGGTTCTTGATTTTATATTATATCAGAATGCAAGAGATAAAAAATTAGGTATCAGAAAACCATTTCTCTGTGATTACATAAAATATTTAGTGCTTCAAAAATTATTAACTAAAATTTAAAAATAACCATATATAATGCTTTTTGAATCATGTGTTCTATTAGAGGTGAAATGCATATATGTAAAAAATGAAAACCCTCGCAATTAAACCCAACAACTTTTTGGAATCTGAGAATATCAAAACAAATGCTCTTCAACATATTCACCCCTTTCTTGTCTGGTAAAAATGGGAACTAATATTTTCACAGAACTTTTGGAAACTAAAAGAATTCAAATAATTTTGAAATCCTTTCAACTTTCCAACATGGATGGTATTGCCAACCTAATCTTTACATATTTTGTCACTAAACACATTCCATAATTTTCTCATTTTAAAAATAGTCACTGTATTTATTTAAGTTTGGCGACATAAAGATTTTGCTATTTTCAGATCTACATATTTCTAAAGTTGAACTTTGTTTCAACTTTTTAGATTGATGTTTCAGTCCTTCTCAAAATATGCATTATTATGTTTATTTATAGTCACATAGAAGTTATTATATAAGAATATATTTTATTTATTTATTTGGGGGGAGTTAGTGTTTGGGCCATACCCAACTGTGCTCAGGCCTTACTTCAGGCTCTGTGCTCAGGGAGCATAGATCAAACCCAGGCCAATGACATGCAATGCACACATCTTAGTGTGGTATCAAACATCTTAATATTATATATTATATTGTATCCTCACATCCTATAAAGAGTAAATGGTGAACAATAGAGAAAGAAACCAGGAACTTAGGCGAGGAATTAAGAAGAGAGAGACTTGAGGTAGAAAGGGCAGGAGCCTGGGGTCTCAACACATTAGTGGTGTAGAACTGAAGCACATGACCAACAGATTCGAACACATGAGATCCAGTTTCAATGACTAAACTTAAAATTGTGCTTTTCAAGAAAGCAAGTTGGGACATGGAGGAAAACTGGGTACATTGGCGGCATAAATATCTCAATGGGGTAAGATTGGTGCTAGAATATTGTATGCCAGAAACTCAACTATGAAAAGGTTTGTAAATCACAGTGCATATATATATATATATCACTGTCACTGTCCTCCTTTTTGTTCATCTATTTGCTCGAGCGGGCCCAGTAACATTGTGAGACTTGTTACTGTGTTTGGCATATCAAACACGTCATGGATATCAAACACGTCATGGGTAGCTTGCCAGGCTTTGCCGTGTGTGTGTGTATATATATATATATATATATATATATATATATATATATATACACACATATATATTGTACACACACACACACACACACATATATATAAAGAATAAATAGTATGGACTGGGAAAATAGTACACTGGGCAAAACACTTTCCTTGCATGCAGCCCACCTGGGTTTTATCCCCAGCACTTCTTAAGGTCTTTGAAGTCCCATCAAGAATGAACCCTGTGAGAGGCTGGAGCAATAGCACAGTGGGTAGGGCATTTCCCTTGAACGTGGCCGACCCGGGTTCCATTCCCAGCATCTCATATGGTCCCCTGAGCACAGCCAGGAATAATTCCTGAGGGCATGAGTCAGGAGTAACCCCTGTTCCTCACCAGGTGTGACCCAAAAAGCAAAAAAAAAAAAAAGAGTGAACCTTGAGCACAGAGCCAGGCGTAAGCTCTGAGCACCGTGCATGTCTGGAGTTGGCTAAAAAATAAATAAATGGTGGACCAGGGACTCAAGTATAGTCTAATCCCAGAGATAATTACTCTTTTTTTCAAAGTGATATAGTTCAACTTTTTAAACAGTTTACACAGTTGTTTAAGATCACTACAATTTATAACATATTCATCCTTCTATGAAGAAATCATATGCTGACTACACTCCTTTATCACTTTAGAATAGCAACTAATCTATTTTGTTTCTACAGATTTACCTTCTCTGATCATTTAATATAAATGAAATTACACATAATGTGACCTTTGGTTTCTTGACATGTTTCACTTAGAGGAGTGTTTTCAGGGTTTTTCAGTGTTGTAACTGCATCAGTACTTGATTCTTATTTATTGACAAATGGTATTCTATTATGTGTCCATGCTTCTTTTGTCCTCAATTCATAAACTGATGGGTATTCATTTTCTTTGTGGTTTTGGGGATTTTTTGTTTTTTTGGGGGGGAGTTGTTTTCTTCATATTTTTGTTGTTGTTGTTTTTGTTTTTAGGCCATACCCAACAGTGCTTATTCTTGGTTCTGCACTTAGGAATCACTCTTGGCGGGCTTCCATAGATGATATGGTTTGCCAGGGGTTGAACTTGGGCAAGCACCCAACCTGCTGTATTACTACTCTGGCCCCTATGTTCTTGTTTTCAGTTTGGGGAATTTGGCTTTGTTTTTGTTTTTTCTTTTCTTTTTCTTTTTTGATGGTTCTTTGCGCTGTCCCCATTTGGGGATATCTTAAGCAATGCTGCTGTTGATATTTATGTATAAGTTTTTGCCTGATTATACATTTTCATTTCTCTTCGTTATATAGCTAGGAGTGAAATTATTGGAACATAAAACAACCATGTTTAAGTCTTTGAACAAACTGCCAAAGTTTTAGCTTCTGCTTCAGAATTTTGTATTATAGTTTGTGAAGGTTCTGATTCATTACAACCTTACTGATATTTTTTTCTGATTATATCTTGTCTTTTTTTCTTTTTCTGATTATATCTAGTCTAGGGCTGGAGTGATAGCACAGTGGAGTGATAGCACATTTGCCTTTCACGAGACCCATCCGGGTTTGATTCCTCTGTCCCTCTCGGAGAGCCCAGCAAGCTACCGAGAGTGTCCTGTCCACACGGCAGAGCCTGGCAAGCTCCTCGTGGCATATTCAATATGCCAAAAACAGTAACAAGTCTCACAATGGAGACCTTACTGGTGCCTGCTCGAGCAAATCGATGAACAATGGGAGGACAGTACTACAGTGCTACATGGAGTCTATTGTGAAGAAGTACATAACAATACAGACTACCCTCTACATGCAGTTCTCAACCACCTTTTTTTTAAAAATTATACAATGATCAAGTACCCATCCCTCCACCAGTACCCATTTCCCACCACCACGGATCCCAGTATCCCTCCCACCCCCCATCTCCCCCATCCGAGTGCTACTAAATTTCTTTTTTAATTTTTTTGTTTCTTTCTTTTTTGTTTTACAGTTGTAGATTTACAATTTTTTGTGCTTGGGTTTCGATTATACAATGGTCAGATACCCATCCCTCCACCAGTGCCCATTTTCCACCACCATGGATAATATCCCCCCACCCCCACCCCCCATCCCCCCCTGCCTCTGTGGCAGGGCAATCCCCTGTGTTCTCTCTCTCCTTTTGGGTGTTGTGGTCTGCAAAAGAGGCATTGAGTGGCAAACATGTTCAGTCCATAGTCTACTTTCGACATGCATCTCCCCTCCTGGGAGGATCCTCCAAATACCCTTTATTTGCTGCTCCCTTCTCTATCTGAACTGCCCTTTCCTCTAGGATACCCGGCTGGCCTCTAAGTTATGGAGTAATCCTCCTGGTGCTGATCTCAGCTATTCTTGGGTATTAATCTCATACTTTGTTACTTTATATCCCCCAGAAGAATGCAATCTTTCTATGTCTATCCCTCTCTTTCTGACTCATTTCGCTTAGCATGATACTTTTCATATTGTACCACTTGTATATAAATTTCATGACTTCATCTTTTCTAACAGCTACATAGTACTCCATTGTGTAGATGTACCAAAGTTTCTTTAACCAGTCATCTGTTCTTGGGCATTCAGGTTTCTTTCAACCACCTTTTAATATACATTTTGACATTAGAGTAAGCTTCAATAGATTTAAAGTAAAAATAATAAAAGGACATCTAGAAAGATGGAAGTGTGAAAGTGATGAAAATAAACATCTGTAATATTCTCTATCACATTAAAGCACTTCAAAATAATCAACTAGAATTTATTTAACAAAGATTTTTGCTTATTTAAGATATTTTATTATAGTTTAGGTAGTATAGTGATAATTGTATTAAATTTATAGTATTGATGCTCAAATTATTTCACCCTAACACCACTAAAGTGCCATGACCCTCCATCTCATCCTTATGTTACCTTTGGTTTTCATTATTCATGAAGGAATGTTTATGAATGCTGACTAAAAGTGAGATGATTCAACTTTTGTTATAAGCAATACTAGATGAAGGAGATTTGTAGTTTCATGTAAAGTTTAATCTTGAAACAGGAAAAATCTTAATTAATTGTTCTTATGCATTCTTTCTATGATGCCAATTTTGGCCAGATTTATTTAAAATCCATTTTATTTTTGTAAATGTTTTTCTGCAAACTAATATATCTTTGTTTGATATTACAGGTTTAGCCGGCAGTGTGTGGTTGACAAGGACAAAAGAAATCAATGTAGATATTGTCGATTAAGAAAGTGTTTTAGAGCAGGAATGAAAAAAGAAGGTAATTATTGAAACATAAAAATGATAATTGACGTTATTGATGATGAAAATATTTTTTTCTCACGCAATCCATTTGATCACAATAAGTTTTCACAGGATTCTGATTTTCCTCAATTTTTTTAAATGAAAAATGATTCACTGGAGATTTGTTAATTGTAAGGATTTACATCCTGCTGGTAAGCAGTGGATCTAGTCTGTATGAAAACTGTTGCTGATTCCATACAGTCTTCCCTTTACTACTGTTTATCTGGCAGCATATTTATTATCTCAATTATGTTATTATGGCTTGTTCAGAAAATATGAATGGAAAAATCCAGTGAAGGGGTACAATTGTAAATGTACTTTAAAACACATTTTTATCCTCTATGCCAATTCATTTCCTATCTACTAACTGAACATTTACTTTTCACAATTCCTTAATTTTACAAATATTTTATTGAAAACTGCTACTTCCCGAAGTTTTACAGGTGTTGACATTTCAGTTGTGAAGCTAAGAGCCACAATCACTCATAGGGAATTTGCATTTTATTAAGAGACTTATCTGTTAAAATCAGTACTCTTTTAGGCGCTTGCTTATTTCACATGGAGCATGTTACATTATCTTATAAATATGGAAAATTTAAAATTTAAAAAGTTATTAAGTAACTTTTAAAATTTGGCATAGGATAAGCCAGAGTATATTATGCTTATGAATTTTGCCATATTTACAAATGTCAGAAAAAGATATTTTCAGAATGATTTCACAAATTATAAAAAGAACTAGATGAAAAAAAACTATCATACCCATCTTCAACATAGTTTTGTTTTTTTTCTTAATAATTTTAATGATGAAAATTCTATTTCTTTAATGAAAATTGCTATTATCAAAGGTGAAGGAAAGTTTACACCTAAATTAGCACTTTATGATTTCTAAATAACATTTCTCATGGGATATTTGATAGCTTATAGAATTAACTTCATACTTTGTCAATCTTTTTTCAGTGTACACTTAAATGCTAGCTTAAATCATACAAAAGTAGAAACAAATATCAATCACTTATTTTCTTCTGAGTTTTAAAATTTTTGAAATAGGTTGATATTCAAAAATAGTAATATATATTTTCTTATTCATAAAATTAATATAATTTTTTGAAATGAATTATAAAAGTAATTTTTGGGGTTTCAGAGTATATACATATCTCTTATAGCAATAGTATAATAAATGTTCAATGAAAATATTAATTTATAGCAGTCAGAAAGTTATGAATCCTTTATAAAGATTGATCTTTAAATTTATCTCATTAGATCATTATAAATGAAATTTATAAAAGCATAATTTATATTTTAATTTTTTATCTCGACATATACATTTCCATGCCAGTCAGTTTAGTCTGAAAATCAGTGGTAGTTTCTGTAAAAAAGAGAGCACATAAGTTGCCAGTAAATATGATTTTGAAATAAATATTAATGATTCATTCCAGTTTAAAGACATTCAGTTTTAAAGGCAAAAAAGGTGAAGTATTTTTTTTCTTTTAACTTAATGGAGTTGATCAGGAACAGTGAATTTTGGATAAAAGATTTTTAGCTTTATTTTGTTTATTTACTAAAATGAGTATTACTGAAAAAATATTCTAATGGTTCAGTGCCTTCTCAGCTGAACAGGTTGATCATTAATCTAAATAGCGTAGGGTTGACAGGCCTTGATTTTTGTTCTTTTTAGTTAGCAGGAAGTAATTTTACTTCTTATACTTCAAAATCCAATGTTAACTTCAGATTTACATTATTCTTGATATGACAAATACGTAATTTATATGCTTCTGACCACTCTTCCGTATATTGACAACTGCAGTTTTTAATAAGAAATTTAAAGTTCCTCATCAGTCTTTTTCTTTCCTTTCTGAAGCAAATTAGTCTAATTGTCTTCATCTTCAGAAACCTCCTAAGAGCTGTAACTTTTGCTGTATACACATTTGTAAATAGCCCAGAGGTTACCATTACATCAGAGCTCATAAGCCACAATCTTAAAATCACCTTGACTATAATAAATCTACTTTCCGTTTTTTCTTGTATCTTATAAGAAAAAAAGAATATGTAAGTTTCAGTCTGTGTATAAGTTTCATATCTTTTGACAGTGAATACACTGTTATCTTTGACCTGCTTAATCTCACAGGCAAAACTCTTCATCTAGTTATCTTACAGTTTTTTTTAACTTCGAGACAGTGGAAAACAATGCTATTAAAAAAATATAACGTGGATGAACCGGCTGACTCAATACTTTCAAACATGAGTTTACTCACCAAGTCCCAAAAGACATTATTTCAGGAGATCTAGTGACAAGCCTGGCTCTTTTCCACTTTTAAAAAGTGGTACAGAATGAAAAACGTCTCCCCCAAGTTCTCTTAAAAAAAAACACCTCTCCACAGTGATTCAATAAATAAATATAAGAAGAAAAATAAATAAATAAATAAAACTATGAAAAAAAAAGTAAGGTGGAGTTCATGTCCAAATCAATCAGCTAATCAGTGGCTGAATAAATAGCAGTACTACGTTAAAAAAAAAAATCTCTCCCGCTTTTGACTTTTAAAAATTTTGAAACTATAATGCCCTGACATATATTGAAGTGAACTCACCAATGATTACTGTGCTTTCCCTGTAGCTGTGCAGAATGAACGAGATAGAATAAGCACCAGAAGAAGCACATTTGATGGCAGCAACATCCCCTCCATTAACACGTTGGCACAAGCCGAAGTTCGGTCTCGCCAGGTATCTGCTACACTCCAGCATCCCAGCATCCATCCCCTTTTAATAGAATGATGTAGCTGTTAGGCTTAATAATGAAATGAATTCAATTCATTCCAATGTATCCACGTGGGGTAGGCTGAAGCGATAGCACAGCGGGTTTGCCTTGCACACGGCCGACCCAGGAGACCCGGGTTTGATTCCTCCACCCCTCTCAGAGAGTGTGGCAAGGTACCAAGAGTATCTCCCCCGGGTGGTGAAGCAAATCGATGAACAGCCGAAGACTGACAGTGACAGTACCCACGTGAATGAAAACAAATCGCATGTACCACAAATTCAAGACTTTTACTTTGAAAGTATTGATTGGTCTGTTGTTTCTGCCTTTTCCTGCATGAGATCCCATATTACAAATGGTGGGGAAAGGGACACTTCGGTCTAAGAGTATTAAAAATTAGTTTTTGTCAAGAGAATGAAAAATACTTAACTCAAGGTACAATGATCTGGGGAGGGGGCAGTATTGGATTTTCTTGATCAAATCTTAAAAAACCTATAGCCATAACTTTCAGAGTTTGTGTGAGGCATGCATGAAGTTTTCTTCCTGGAAGATGACTTTGAACTCAGGAGTTCACCTACACATCTGGGTTGGAAACAGTCATTTGGAAGACAGAGGCAAATTTAGAAAACAGAGGCAAAGGAGCTATATTCTTTAAAATTTATAGAATGAGAATATCAGTTTTATTTTTTTCAAGTAGGGCATTGGTAACATATAAAATACCAAACAAACAAGTAAACTTTCTAAGAACAGTTTATTTTAGCATTGTTAGGAAAGTTGAAGATACTTCTGTATTATAAATGAAATTATAAAATAGCTAACTAGTTCATCAGGTCCAGTATGAGTCAGTGTGACTACTTTCGTTTTTGATAAGTCATGGGTAATATGATGAGGTTAAATCTCAGCATTATCATCATCATTAGTTAGAGATTGCTTGATGGTCTATAAAACTTTGAGTGAATGACTGAAAAGAGCCTTATGAGGAAATGTTATACATACATTATGTACTAAAATTAGAGCTTTGACCATGGCGGTTTTTTTTTTCAGCAGAGAGGCATTCTAACATCACCTATATTTTTACGAGGTTTAATTTTTTTTTTAAGTTTAATATCTGTCATTATGTATTAAGCTCTTCAGGGTTGGTTTCCTGTATTGCTTGATAAATTTCCATTTAATGAAACAACAGAAAGGGTTCTGGCTTCTGCTATTAATCATTTCCCTCCAGTTTGATAAGCTTTATCCACTGGAAATAGTTTATAAACTTAAGCAAATGAAAGTTTGTTTGTGTTTGCTGGTGTTGGGAATTAAACCCAGGGTCTTGTACATCTGGTGTATTAATTCTACCAGTCAGATACACTCCATCCTAAAATGAACTTTGTTAATAAAAGTATCATATTTTAATTAAAATAATCTCACCACGTTCCATGTGGATACTTTAAGTCTTTTTGTATAGTTAGGTTGAATTTTGTAACTCCCCGAGAGTTATGATAACTTATTTTGCCATTTGCAAAATTGGCAAGAGGAATAAAATTCAACTCAAAAAGCATGGTGCTGAACATTAAATATTTCCCACTTGAAATATAATTCTCAAATGTTTGCTATATAATCAAGATACTATGACAATGATAGAGCCCACTTTAGTGTTGTTTATTTATTTAAGCCAGTGTGGAAAAAAGAGAGGTTTATTTGGTTATGTATCATTTAAAATAATGAACTATTATGTTCTTCAAAATTCTAGATCTCAGCTTCCAGCCCTGGTGTAAGCACTGATATAAATGTTAAGAAAATTGCAGGTGTTGGTGATGTCTGTGAATCAATGAAACAGCAGCTCTTAGTGTTAGTGGAATGGGCTAAATATATTCCTGCCTTCTGTGAGTTGCCGCTGGATGATCAGGTACAAATTAATTATATTAATTCTTTATATGGCACTTGAAAAAAGTTACAAGATTACATTTTTAGTGAGAAAAGTAATTCGTTTTGTAATTCATTTTTCTTCATCAAGTAACATGAATGTTTAACTTTGTAAATGACCCTAAATGTTTTGGGGTGGTAGTTGAACAAAACACTGTTCTTCCATTTGAAAGTTTAAAAAGCCTTTGTAAAGGTGAAAGAGGTGCTATTATGAGACAGTGTTACCAGGGTAAAGGTCTAGGAGGCAAAAGGTAGACAGTCGTGTTTTTGTGTTTTGGTGCCAATTGAAGCTACCATAGAAAGCTTCTCCACAATAACAGGATGTGAGTCCTGTATAGGCTGTGTTGATATCTTTGTGAGCACTTGGTGCAGTTAAAATTTTGACTTTTTTTCGTTCATAATGTCAATTTTATTTGACCATTTGCTCTGTGAAAATTACTGGTCTTGCCAAAAGGTCTATAAAATCATGTTCTGAAACATATGGAAAAATAGAGATATCTTAGAATTATCTTTTCCTAATACATACATTTTCATAAATTCTTAATTGTACACTGGGATATTTTAATTAATCATTTTTAATTTAGGGACCAGGGCTATAATACAGAGGGTAGGGCGTTTACTTTACACAAAGCCGACCTAATTCAGTCTCTGACACCCAGTCTGGTCCCTCATGCCTACCAGGAATGATTCCTGAGTATAGAGCCAGGAGTAATTTCTGTGGCCCCCAAAAGAAAAACAAACAAACAAACAATAATTTTAGACAAACAATAATTTTTGTCTGTGTTCTTTGAAGATTACATTATTAGCTTGAGCTTCATTTAAACCCTTCTATATTAGTAAATACTCAAAATTTTCTAATCCTATCACTATGAATAAACTATGATATGAGTTATACCAGTATCTTTTTAATGCCCTTTGACCAGGGCTTCTTATCACTGATGCACAAATAAAAAGTCTAACAAAAGACAGGGTGTATATTATTTTTAATTTTTTTAAATGACAAAATACAATGCTAGAAGTAAAAAATGTTTATTGAAAGCTAGTCAGATTTCTAGGATAACATTTCACCTACTGACAGCAAAAAAAAAAATGCTGTGAAATTCAAAATCATTCTTAAAATGTTCTGTAACGGCCCTTCCTGGTTTGAGTCATGGTTATTGACATATCATAAAGATAGGTTGGCTCAGAAGGTTATTTAAGAGTGAATAGTGCTAAATTGCTGAAACCCACTTGTCTAACCCCAGCAATATAAGTAAGGTTATGTTAGTTATCAGTTTTATATTTTTATTATCATTCCTTTTTAGAAGTTGCTGACTTGTGTATGAAGACAGTACTTCAAAAATTGGGAAATTGAAATTCAGTAACCTGTCAAAAGAACTTTTTATTTATATACTAACACTTTAATATTAACAAGAGCCACAGCTTGGCAAATTTCTATTATGAGTTAGCTTTCTGTTGCATCTATATATTATATTATTTTATTTAGGGTTCTTAGGAGCTCTATGTTATAGATTTTGTAATCTTCACTTAGAGGGTTTTCAACATTGATCTTAGACTGGTAAATTAATTCAGTACATTTTTTTAATTGAAAATTGTTTTATCAAACAACAAAGTTCAGTTTTAGGAACTGAATATTCATAAATAAAATACAGATTACATAACTATTTTTATAAAAGTTTGAATTCTGTTTGGGAGAGATAAGTAACAAAGATACTTAATTCTACATGGGGACACATTCTATTAAATGAAATGGAAAGAGTTGTTTAATGACGGCTGGTGGAGTGGTTAGAGATGCTTTCGGTTGGGAATTAGAGAGGTTTATTTTGTGACTTAATGATCCCAAGGAGTGAAGTATTCCAAGATCTGAAACTAAAGTATTCTGAGTACAGGAACAGCATATTTAAAGGTTCTGAGGAAAACATTGTGAAAAAATGAATAAGAAATGATTCAAGATGAACCAGGAAATTGCATCAAGGGTGAAACATTGAGTCATAGCTTAAGATGCTATGATTATCAAGTTTATATATAATTCTGAGAGCAATAACTGGGAAGGACTTCTCCAGAGTGATATTAGATGATTATTATTTTGCGAATATATTCTTGGTGGTTTGACAAGAAAGATTTATTCAGATAGAAGAATCTGAAAAGAAGCAAGAATGACTTTTAGGTCTTTGGAGAGTACTAAGATAGGTCAGGTGAGAAGAACTACTTGAGTTTGGGTTGGGGTAAAAGTAATGGAGAAGCAGCATTAGAATTTGCTGCACAAAAAGAGAAAAATCAAAATGGGGTTCTCGTTTCGATGCAAACAATCACCTTAAATGATAGCATGGGCTCTTCTCTGTTAAGTGGAACTATTGAAATGTTTCCTGTTTATTCTAGCGATAAATAACCTGTAGTCAACCAAATAGACGCATGAAGTAGATTGACAGTTTAGTACAACGAACTAGAAATCCAGTCTATGAAGTGAGAGTTTCTCAGCCCCCCGCCCCATTTTCTTTTCCTCTTTCACTGTCACAAGACTTTCTTCATGCTTCTTTTGTATATTCAGTCCATAATGTGTAAGAAATTATTTTTATTTTCTAATTGGTTTTTACCATCACACTTTGCAACTATTATCACTATGCCTATTCGTTGGATAACACATGAGTACCACACATACCTGTTTTCTCATCCAAAATTAAAAGAGGTGGTAAATAGCCAAGTCAAAATTTGAATTCAGGTTTAGAGTGTATTTAATTCCCAAACACTTCACTCTTCTTCATCTCCCACCCCTTCTTTTCTCTCTGCTATTATGTTAACTTGCTAATTTTAGAAAAATGTTATTTAGTGAAATAACATTGGTGTATAGGACGGAATAGTTTTAGGGATATGATTACACGCCTCTTCAAAGTAATGTTCCCACAACCACAGCAAAGTGCCACTCTCCCACCCCACAGTCTTTTAGACTCCCTCTCACCCTTAGATAATTCCTGCTCCATCCTTTGCTGAGAACCTCAGCCCTGTGGTCTGAATCCACAGATTCACTGTCCTTTGCTCTAGTCTATTTCCTTTATTTGTTTCTCTTCATCCTGCATATGTGTGAGATCATTCAGTTTGTCTTTCTCCTTCTGACTTACTTCATTGTGCATGACCCCTTCCGTTTTTTCCATGTTATAGCAAAATGAAATATTTCATTTTTCTTATGGTGGAGCAGTGTTTCTTTGTGTATATAAGCCACATTTCCTATAGTCAGATGGGTGGGCCCTTGGCGTGTTCATAGATCTTGGCCATGGTAGATAGTGCTGCCATGAACACAGCTGCGTGGATGCCTTTCCACATTTGAGTTTTTGTATCCTTTGAATGGATATCTAGGAGTATAATTGCTACATCGTTTTTAAAAATTTTAATAATGCTCTAATTGCATGGTAACATAGAAAAATTGATGGTTCAATAATGGCAGGTCTCTGTGAATATTACAGTTTATTAAAAACTCCCAGCTCTAAAGAACACAAAGTTAATCAGACTCATATTATGCTGCCTTTTAATCATTATGTTTTTTAATTAATTGTTAAACTTTGAATTTTTCATTAAGGTGGCACTGTTGAGAGCTCACGCAGGAGAACACTTATTGCTTGGAGCAACAAAGAGATCTATGGTGTATAAAGATATTTTGCTTTTGGGTAAGTATTTTTTTTTAATTTTGGAGGAATTGATGAATGTTTCATTCTTGTATGTTATCCATTCTGTGTGTTTTCAACTGTTCACAGACAATCAAGTCTTGTCTCGTTTCACAAACCAAATTAAAACAATCATCCTTACACATGTCCTGTTTTCCCTTGACTTAATTCCAGGGGAATTCAGTATGTATTGAAAAATTGAAGGTGCATTAAGATTTAAGTAAAAGAAAAAACAGATCTTGTTCAAAAAACACAATATTGAGTATGTTCAAATCATATTAAGTCAAGTACTGCTGAATAATGTGACATCATAAGGAGTACTGAGGTTCTTTCACACTGCCTCAAAGGTGAATTAATCATTGTAATGTGTATTATTTTATTGGTTTAAGACATATGTTTTGCCCCCACCTTCCTGTTGCTCATGATATGCAACAAAATTCCAACTTGAAAAAAAATGGACAGGGTGCCAGGAATATTAAGGCTTAGCCATAAAGCACACGCCTTGCATACGTGAGACCTGAAAGTTGAAATGGAGTTTGATCCCTGATATGGAGGGGGAAAATAAGTCATGATGAGATCTGAAAAATTCTGATAATTTAATGCAGTAAATGGAAAAGTCATTTCACAGAGAGAATAGGGACATAAAATTGAACGAAAGCTTGTCTCCGTTAATTACAAGTTCTAATTCCTATTCCTTACTAATTAGGTTTTCTACTGACTGTTGAGAGTTTTATGACCCTTTTTAGCCCGACCTTTTGGATTTTCTCCATCTCTTAAATGCGTTGTTTTAGATGTTCTGAACATATATATGAACTATTTATTTATGTATCACAATAAACTTAAGGTATAGTTACTGTTATTTTCAACCAATTCTGCAGGTGAAGAAATTGAGGCAAATAAAGTTTACCTACATTAATATGTTAGTAAGTAATAAAGGCAGGATACTAACTGTATAATGTGACTCCAGTGATTTTCTTAAATTCTATTAAACATTTCCATCTTCTACTTTCTATGACCTTAGAGTAGTCTCTATAAATCTGAATACATTATACTTAGATAAGAGATTCTTGCACTGTATAATTTTAGGCTATTTACCTGAATAATTAGGTAATCTTTATTTTCATTCGAATGTGAGGCTACATTTTTGGAATATTTTGGTTTGTGTTGTTACATTAGAGATGTTCCTGCTCGCATCGAAAGAAGTGAAAAATTATTTCTTTTATAGAACCAGAAAATAATGCTTTAGGAGCTACAAACTTTATAATATTTCATAACACATTTTCTATAGTTTTGAAGTTATAGTAAATATTTATAGTATGGACAGACTCTTAAGTGTGAAAGTTTTTTAGGGATTATAGGTGGTCGAGCTCTATCTAATTTCTTAACTCTACTTAACACTTGGTCATTCCATCTCTACTTAAACCTAGAGAGAATTTTCTTTTCACCGAGGCAACTCACGAGCATGCTAGCTAATTTAAAAAATAAACTTCATCCACATAGACATTAAAATTATGTCTCCACAATTGTACCTACATATTACCTGTATTACCACGAGTACTATTTTTAATACTCCCTAAGCAAGGAAGCTTCTTTAGATTTTGAATTATGCTTATTAATGAATAAAGAGTACAGTACAACTAACGTAGCACAAACTAATCATTATGTTTTTTCTCCCTTGTAAATTATTAGCTTGTTATTCGTTTGTACCTTCATGTTATCACCAGTGACGGAGGCTGTTAAAATGCATGTGATCATATTATCAAAGTTATTGATCCTTTAGGCATTGTGATGTTTCAACTAAATATAACTACCTGAACACACAAAGAAAAGAAGGTAGTATTACTATTCCTCCAAAGGAAGTCTATTTAAAATATTAATTTATAAAATTTAAACAATTCTGGAGAGGTAAGACACATAGCACACAGCTGACCTGGTTAATGTCTGGCCCCATATGGTTCCACAAGCACCACCAGGAATGATTCTCTGAGCACAAAACCAGGAGTAAGCCCTGAGCGACGCCAGATGTAGTCCCAGCCACACACCCGCACCACCAAAAACAGAAGGAAAAAGCTATAGCTGATGGGTTTTCTGTGTGTTTGTGTGTTTGAGGTGATTTTTGTCTTCTTCTAGGAAACAACTATGTCATCCATCGCAACAGCTGTGAAGTGGAAATCAGTCGTGTGGCCAATCGGGTTCTGGACGAACTGGTCAGGCCGTTTCAAGAAATCCAGATTGATGACAATGAATATGCCTGTTTGAAGGCCATCGTATTTTTTGATCCAGGTTTGAAAAAATTCCATTAGAATTATTATAGTGGGACAGATACCCAATGATGTCTCTCATTTGTGGGATAGAAAGAACCATAACCAGGAAATAAAAAATGTCTAAGGACAAAATAAACTGATAACGGGTATTCAGCAGGAAGTTTACCAGAGGGAAAAGGGTGAGAAAATTTGGGGACTAGAAGAATGTGGATGGGGGTGATGATTAGGACCATGCTGGAGGGACCCCAACACTGGTGAAGGGTATAATACTGACACTGTTTATACACAAAACCCTACAGCATTGTAAATCATGGTACCTAAAAATAAAATTACTGTAAAGAAGTGTAAGCTACTGTTTCATGCTACAATATTTATTCTCACATTCTAGCAAGAGTAAATATTTAGGCTATGGTGTTTCACTAATAAAAAATTTTTTTTAAAAAAGAGTAAATATTTAGGCTAAGCTTTTTATTTCGTCATCAGATGCAAAAGGACTAAGTGATCCAGTCAAAATTAAGAACATGCGTTTCCAAGTGCAGTTGAGTTTGGAGGATTACATCAATGACCGGCAGTACGACTCCCGTGGGAGGTTTGGAGAGCTGCTTCTGCTACTGCCCACCCTGCAGAGCATCACTTGGCAAATGATTGAGCAGATACAGTTTGTTAAACTTTTTGGGATGGTTAAAATTGACAACCTTCTTCAGGAAATGTTATTGGGTGGTGAGTACATTTAAGAATCTCTTGCCCAATCAATCAGCTAATCAGTGGCTGAATAAATAGCAGTACTCCTACATAAAAAAAAAAAAAGGAATCTCAATATCATTTGTTTGTATGACACGGCTTGGAGCATTTGATTTCTGGTCATTTGATTTGTGGCCATGACATGATAACCTCATCTTTTAAGTTTTTTGTATTTTTCACTTTTAGAAAGTCCATAGAAACTGTTAGAAGGGGGGAAAATACTTGAACATGTTTAAATCCCCATTCTGTCTCCACCGTCTTTGCATCTTCTAATCTCCTTATCTCAGTGCTCAGATTCTTCCAAATATGGCATATAGAAATAGATCTATCTTTACAACTCCTTAAATATATATTATGATTTACTGTGCCTTCCTCAAGACATCAAAGATACTAGAATTTCAGCAAAACCTAAAAATACATAGTAAAACCTTAAAAATCAACATTTAGCTCCTCAAGTAATGGACACAACACAAAAATATGGGTAACATTGTATTGCTGTGATGAATGTCATGAATAAGTTTTGAAATAATCTATTTTGTGCTCTATCTAGATTAAATTTTCTTGTAAAATTACTTGTATTTTACTTTTAGTTTTCTGGTGTTTAATATGTTCTTGATGGCATCTTTCTAAAATAAAATCTGTTTATGATATTAGGGTTCTCCCAGATACTATCAAGTTGAACTAAGTGATTCTTGGAATTGCCTTAACAACAGGGAGCAAATATAATGATTCCAGGAAATAGCACGCAACTTTCATTATTAATATACAGCATAAGATGATACAACATTAATCTAGCCGATGTGCAGATAGGGCTGACGTTGTCCATAATATGCAACTGGTCCATTCATTTATCCTTGCATTTCCAAAAAGCACTTTGCAAAAAAGGGCAATATTCAAACTGTCAATCAAAACACTTGTTCCAACACAAATTTATTCTTCTTGATTGCACATCACTAATACAAGCATCTTTTTATCTTCTCTAGGTGCTTCCAATGACGTTAATCATCTCCATCATCCAATGCATCAACATTTGTCTCAGGATCCATTAAATGGACAAACAATACTTTTAGGTCCAATGTCTACACTAGTTCACACAGACCAGATCTGTAAGTGTCTGGGGTAGTTTTCCTTCATATATTTTAAAGATGATTATCTTAGAAAACAAGGGGTAACTGTCTTAATACCCGGAAATTACAAAAAATTTGGTATAATTTCCTCTTTCTGACTCAACTGTGTGCAATTGTGACATCTGCTAAGCCCCATATTCTCTTTAGGTATGAGCTTTATGCCTAAAATGGAGACATGAGAACTGAAGTATTTCTACTTTACAGACTTGAGACCACAAAAACTCAGCATTTTTTGAGAGTATGACAGAGGCAGAAAATGTGTTATTAATATCATTAGTTGAGGAAAAATCATGGCACATTTCATCTGTGACTCACAATATCAATAATTTGGGATCATCTTGCAGAGCAGGTGTTAGCACTGCTATTTAGTGGATAGTCAGGAACAGGCAGAAGCAAACCTAACACCATACCAAAGAGACTAGGAACACACACACACTCTCTCTCTCTCTTGTGAAACAACATAGTTTTAATTGAACCAAATTTATTTAGAAAATTGAGAGGAGAGAAAGAGAGGAATTCCTGTGCAAGAGTGAACTCTGGCTTCTCCAGAGTGGAAAAAAGCAAGCCAGCAAAGATACCTGTTCAAAGGAGAACAGGGGCTGAAAGAGCAATTCTGGAACTGTGGCTCTCAAGGACCAGTTATTCATAAACTCAGGACATAAAACATATTAACAACACATTAAGGATTGTAGACATCAATTGACAGGAAAGTTTAACAGTTCTGCTGGTGGTTAAATCCTTCACTTTTTAAATGCTAGTTTTCTGATCCCAATTTTTTAGTATCACGTAGTACACTTTAAATTTTTATTTTAATAATATTTGTAAGAATATTTACATATTACTCTAAAAACATTTATACCATAAAATGGCATTTATTAATGATCATCTTTGCTTGTGCTCTTTTGATAGAGTCTATGCAAAGCAAGACTTTGCTTCTAAATAAATACCAAAATATGCTTAGGAATATAAAGTTACTACATTAGGGAAGCCAAGTGAAAAATGTCTCCTTGTTTATGAATTTTTTTAAACTTGGGGAAAAATTTATAAAGTCTGCTATGCCTCAGTTTGATCATTAAGCAATTTCTATTCTGTTAAATGTAGGAAATAATAATTTAAAAATTAGTAAAATATAATGAGCTTTACTGTTTATTTATTTTGGTTTTGATTTTATGTGGGGGGGCCACACCTGATTGCATTCAGAAATCACTCCTCCTAGCAGTGCTTGGGGGACCATATGGGATGCAGGGGATAGAATCTGGATCAGCCGCATGCAAGGCAAATACCCTACTAGCTACCCTATTGCTCTGGACCCAACTAGAATACAATGTTTTTAAAATTACGGAGTGTCTCCTAGTTTTTTTTTGAAATGCTAAACTTTGCAATAGGAGGAAATGCTATTCTAGAACCTTGCTTCTTTTTATTAGTTTGCTTTGTTTGGGGGCCATACCTGGAAGTGCTTAGGGCTTACCCCTGGCTCTGTGCTCAGGGTTTATTCTAGGCAGGGTATGGGGGATAATTCAGGCTGCCAAGGATTGAACCCAGTAGTCGCCTGGAAGGCAAATACCCTACCTTGCTTCGGCCCCTAGAACTTTGCTTCCTAAACACATCTAGAGTCATGTAATTTTGTGTCAAATACTTGGTTTTTATATCTACTTATATCTATCTACCTGACTAGTATAAAAATTAGGCCACAAAAGGTGTCTCTGCCTCCAATTTCAGAACCCAGCTCCAGAAAATAAAATCATACATAAATCCTCATTTAATTGATTCTTAGGAACTGAGGATTTACATGAGACGACCAAACAAAATATGGTCCTAAAGTAAAATTCCATTCATTGTCATCAGTGTTATAATGAACTATAGCTCTTTCCAGAACTATTCAAATGATTTCTCCCTCATTCTGTCCCCCAACCCCAATGACTTTGTTTGCTATTTGCATTTATGGGGCATGATGGACAAGCTGCACGTGAGTAGAACAATTTTAAAACAAGGAAACCATAGTTTTCAGATAGCTTTTTTTGTTTATTTATTTTCAATTTGGGGCCATATCCAGCTGTGCTCAGGGCTTTCTCTGGGCTCTGTGTATAGGAATTATTCCTGCCAGTGCTTAGGGAGCTGTACAGGATACGAGAGATCAAACCCAAGTTCGTGCCCATGCATGGCAAGGACCCTCCCTCCTGTACTGTCATTCCTGCCTCTTCGATTGCTTTTAGGTACAATATATATTTCAGATCATTTGGAAAGTACCAAACGTTCAATTTTAGGTCATCTAATATGTTTAAATTGATGAAATTAAGCCAAATAGATTGTACTTTATCTGCATTTGATTACCATGATTTTTGTTTGTTTCAGGAGTTTTAGAAAAACTGTTCTGCTCATTCCTTTGACTATTTTTTCTGCTCCATGTGAAACTAAAATGCCCGTAAAAGTATTGAGACAGAAAAATGTTTCAAATGACTATTAATATTTAAATATGAACTACAGTAATCTAGCGCAACTTGGAGAATTTGGATGGGCAGATTACTATAACAATTTTAGCAACATTATTATTTCATTCATGTGTGATCTTTTAAAAATGTAAACCAAATGTATACCAAACAGAATGCATACCAAAGTGTGTATTGATGTCACTCAATGGTTTATGTCAAAGTCATTGTTGTCCTTACATAAAATTTTCTTCATTCTTTTTTTCCAGCAACTCCTGAAACCCCACTCCCTTCCCCACCACAAGGCTCTGGGCAAGAACAGTACAAAATAACTTCAAATCAAGCTTCAGTCATAGCACATCAATCTCTCTCCAAACAAAAGCAATTGTGAGAATGTGTTTACTTCTGAACGGCACTGCATAAATGTGAAAAGTTGTTGGTCTTGAAATATCTCAGGATAGTAATTTTGGCTAATTCTTAGCCAAGACTTCTTCATGGTGCTGTTATAAGATGATATCCTATTTTCTTGTTTATATACTCATTTATTTGTTGTTGCTATTGTTTAAAACCTTTGGTTTCAAGCTTTATGTAACTGAGTTTCGATGTTTATATAGTATGTTTTTCCAACTTCTCTTGCACTGTGCCTCAAAAAGTTGAATATTATGTTCTACTTATGTTGTCTTAATATAACTTAAATCTGTAAATATGTGCTTTATCAAGGTGTGATGCAGAAGCAAAGTTTTTTGATATAAAATAGATCAGAATACCAGATTAATATAAAGTGAACCAAATTTTTTACAAATCTTAAATTTTCAAATTAGAAAAATAAAACATTTTTTTTGTAAAAAAGGGCATATTTCTTTGAAGAATCACTAATAGAAAGCCTGTGGTTAAGTTATGTTGTTAAGAAATAAGTTTTTCACACAGAAGAAAATAAATATACCTTTGGTTTAAAACTTGCTAAATCATATTTCCAGGTATGACCAAGTGCTCTTTGAAATCTCCTGTGTTTGAAGATGTACATTGAACAACAAAATACATTTTGCCATTTGTGATAAAGGCTGTACTATAAAAAAATTAAAATAATGGCAACCAAGAGCGATGTTTATTTTTCTCTTTCAAGTGTAGAAGTATTCATTGATTAGAATTTAGCTCATGAACACATCAGCTCCCACAAGACTGAGAGATAAGACTTTAGGTAAAAATTGATGTACCTCTTAAAATTGTACAACTGGGAAATAGATATAGGGAGATAAACTAACCATCTTTTACATGTGTTGTCTGGATTTTTTTCTTCTGTTTATTTTTTAATCACTCTGGGATTATAGCTAGCGGTACTCAGGGACTGCTCTTCTAGTGGTGCTTGAGGGACTATGTGGCTCTAGGGACCAAAGCCAGGCCTCCTGCATCAGAAGAAGAATGTACTCTAGTTCTTTGAGCTATTCTTCCAGCCTGCATTGTCTAACTGAAGCTTCTTCAAAACCCCATAAGAGATATATTACTATCTTTTATAGTGAATGAAATCTTTGGCATCGGTGGTTTAAATAATTTAACCAAAGTTCATACACTTAGAATAAAAAAGCAACATTGAAGATCTGGTTGACTTTTATGCGAATGTTTGCAATTGGGTAATGCCTGCCTGAATGGTGTTCATAATGTTGCCTATAACACGTATTTCCATGTAAGCCTTCAGTGTGAATTTGTTGCAGCGGGAAGTAGAAAATTCTTTTCTACTTTTAATTAACATCTCTGCTAACAAGCTGTTAAATTAAAAAAGTAAAAGATGCATTAGATAAGTTCCAAGAATACAAAAGCCACCAATTAGACAGATTTTTGAAAACCAAGGGTCTGAGAGAATACAGTGCATGTGTCATTCTAGACTGAAGAGTGCAGAGTATTAACTAAAGTAAGCTGGGGCCTATTTTAAAACAGTTTATGCTGGACTGTCTCATGAGGCAATAACTCTCTTATCACACACATCTGAGCACAATATATTTGCTAAAGCAGGGAAACATCGTTTAGTAATTATCACTGATAAAGCGGTATATCCAAAAATCTGAGAGCCACCTTTAAATGTATGTTATTTTTTTTCAAGATCCTCAGAATTTCTGATTCTATGATTTCATAGTGTTCACTAAGTTATGGGATCTTAAAGTTAAACTGAACTCAAGTAGGGAAAAATGATTACTTAGAAACTATCGATACATCCTTTAAGAGCTGGCACCTTCGTGAAACTGTAAAATATATCTTTGAAAGAGAAAGTGAGAAAAGAGGAAAGTTTATTTAAGTTTTTTTTTGAAAATTTGCTCTAGCATCTCTATTTAATGAATAAGATTCTTGATTTTTTTATAAAGATAAATATCTTTGTAGTTTTCTCTTTAATATCATATGGTGTTCTCTTAGAAGATATTAAAAAAACCTTTGAAATGTAAAATTCATTTTCAATCCTTAACTTACCTGCATACATTTGCAAACAGCTATGTGTGGGAAATTATTGCATAAAAATTGTTTTAATAACTGTGGTCAGGGAACTTGTAATATATTTTTTGTATACTTAACTGCAAAAAGTGCTGGGCAAAAAAGTAATATTTTCAAAATATTGATAAGGGAAGTTATTGCATTTTATATAGCACAAGACTTTTTTCAGGTAATAAAAATGAATAATTTATTGTGAAATAATGATTCATTTTATAAATGTAAAATTATTTTTATAAATTTCATTGTTGAAAATCAAACATTACTAGATTTTTTAATATTAAATTATAGTGATATACAATGTTTCTGTGATACCATGTTGTTTCACTGAACTTTCTAAATAAAAATTGAGAAGATGAAATGGTGTACTTCATTATTGTACCAAAATTATTTTATCATTTCACAGGTACTGATATTTGTTAGGTAGTCATTTGATTCAGTTGTTATACAGCTTCCTAGTACTTCTCAACAGAGGCCAGAACAAAATTAATTAGAAAATCTTCAAATAATTGTGCTATCAGGAATTTATTAAAGGAAGGATAATCGGATTTCTACTTCAGTTGTACAATTTTTTCTTGCTTTTTATCTTTTTATAATAACTTACATGGTCTGTGCTGAATTAAACAGTTTATAGATATATTTTGTCATGTCAGCATTTAGATATTTTAACTGCCCGTTTTCTCCATTCATATTTAAAGATTTTTTGTAAGTATTTTTTTAGTATTTAGATTAAATTTTATTTTACTCTTTTCAAGGGGGTGTATAAATATGAAGTACATTTATATAAAATATAAGTATAAAAAACTAATATGAAGAATGCTAATATATCTTATGTGCTTCTGAGTCAAATCCTGTGCAATAAAGCAAGACTATTATTTCTCTTCACTACTTTTGCTATAAAAAAGGTTATAATTCATCTCTTCTCTACAGAAATATAAATATTACTTCTCTAAGGTTGAACATATATTTTTCCATGTTGTTTGTTTGTGGGCCACACCTGTCAGTGCTCAGATCCAGGAGTAGTTCCTAGGTCTAAGCTCAGGGATCACTCCTGGAAGCTCCAGGGACTCTATGGAGTGCCAGGTAGCAAACCCAGGTGAGCCACATGCAAGGCAAAAGTCCCACCCACTGTACTATCGCTCAGGTCCTGAAAAGATGTTTTCAATTAAAAGAGTAACTAGTATATGAAAATATTGGTAATTAAGAACTGGAAGAATGTGACTGTATATAGAAAAGGTCTGTAACTGAAAATGTATGGGAGAAGTGGGCATTACTGGAAAATTCAAAACATTGAAAAAAAAGTTTTCAAACCATGGAAAAATTACTACATGAATAACTGTATTCTGAGTATGATTACAGAAGGCCAAACTAAGGAAAGGGAAGTGGGTGTGACAGAGACTGTGGGTTTTCTTACAAATATTTACTATAATTTGTATTTTTAATGACATATACACTGTATCACTGTCATCCCGTTTTTCATCTATTTACTCGAGCGGGTGCCAGTTAATGTCTCCATTTGTCTCAGCCCTGAGATTTTAGCAGCCTCTCCTTACTTGTCTTTCCTAATGCTGCCATACTGGACGCTCTTTCAGGGCAAAGGGAATGAGACCCGTTACTGTTATTGTTTTTTGGCATATCGAATATGCCACGGGGAGCTTGCCAGGCTCTGCTGTGTGGTGGGATACTCTTAGTAGTTTGCTGGGCACTCCAAGAAGCACATATATATATTTCCCTCTATGATATGTTGTCTACTGTCTGAACTCCATCAAATATGGTGTGGTCCTTAAGGAGAAAAACACAAAAAGTTACAATGGTTGAGCAGGACAGGTTACTACCAAAAATTGCTTATCAAAAGTAGTGATTTCAAATTTTGTGTCATAGTTCTTTAGCAAGATTTTCTCCATTATCAATAGACTCTACAGTTAAGACTCCCTTTTAATTCTTTTTCTTTTAATGAAACATTATTCTTTCTAGTGTTAAACACAGCATTTAAAGCCCAAGTTGTTACCTATTCCAATGTAACAATAAAAATAAAACTTTTGCTGCTATCCCAATCTATCATACTATGAGTTAGCTGACATCATGTTACCAATGGACAATATACTCTACCTTACTCTTTAAGAATACTTGAACATATTTTCATATTATTTCCGTCTGACTATTTGAACAGATGCTTTTTAACTTATGTCCTTTTCCCCTCCTAAATTCCATTATACTTTCTAGAGAAAGATTTAAACACACAACACACATACACAGAAACTGATTTTTTTGTTTTGTTTTTTGCAAAGTATGGAAGCTCCTGCCTTGAGAATAAAGAGAATAAAGAGAAGTCTGTGTTTAAGTATAAGAAAATTAATACTAGGAAAGTAATAAAACATTCTTTAGACCCATGAAAAAATGACAATATTGTAATTCTCAAGTTGAAGACCAAAGTGGTATCTGTCAATAAAGGTCACATCAGAGGTCATACAGAGCTATGTGAGTGCTCTGTCAGAGACTCAGAGAGGGCAGAATGAAATTCCTTTCATCTCTGTGGCAGATTGGCTGACCAGTGAAGAAGGGAAGGGCCACCCCACTTTCCAAATTAGGGAAGTCGTTCTCAGCTGCAGAAAATACAGAGAAATCTAAAATTTAAAGTATTATAACAACAAGATGGGAAATGGGTCAATTCAACAATAGACTCCCTCTGATATAGAACTAGTTAAAAAAAATTGCCTAGGTCATTGGTCAACCTTGGGTAAGCTCACTGCCATGAACTATTTTGTTTTGTTTGTTTTTTCAATTAGACATCATTCAAATAGACAGCAGAAAGGCTGGGTGTTCATGACCTCTCAAGAGGTGCTGAGGTGGGTCTTCGGGTGACTCCCAAAGATTCTAAGATTTTCTGTGGGGTCTAAAGAGACAATGCTGGTTAGGTGTGCAGTCTCAGCGTCCGACTACACCACACTCTAGAGCTTGGTACTGATGTGGTGCCACAAATCAAGCTGGGGCAAGGCCTGTGCCCTCCCCCATGCTCTTCTTCTGCACATTACCACAGCTGGTCAATGCTTAGAGGTCTGGGACACACCTGGATGTACAGATCTGTCATGGGAGGGAGTCCTGGAAATTTACTTTAGAGTCTCACACAAATTAGATGTGTGCTATATCATTTAAGCCCAGCACTGAATTTCTTATGAACAGTTAATTTTTTTTCTGGAAATAAATTCTTTAACCCAAGAACACAAAATTGAAGATTGATCTGGATTAATCCCTAGCACTGCAAATGGCCCTTTGAACAGCAGCAGAGAAGATCTCTATGTGAAGAGCTAGGGATAAGCTCTGAATACAGCTAAGTGTGCCCTCCCCCATTGGACCCCACAAAGTTTGTGACACAAAACTCTATGTGACACAAAGCAGGAATACCAGAAGTAGGAGAGAACAAGGCATTATGTACTAAAATTCTAATTGTATACATAATGACAATATCAGGATAAAAATATATGTATATTTTCTTAGTAATTCATAAAGGCAACATAAATATGTTATAGATAACTACTAGAGGAACAAAATAGAGTTTATAAGAATAGATTCTGAAAATACAAACTCCAGAAAATGATGGTGCCAACCTAGTTAAAAAAAAAAAGAGGGTGTTTATAACTGCCACCATGGTCCTGGTCAGACTCGACTGCTCAAGACAAGCCTCACCCAGAAATTAATCTGTTGAAAAACTCAAGCATGAGAGTTTTGTGAGTGAAATCCCACTCACAAAAATCTTCAGGCTTTCATGGAGTCATGGATGAACTCCATCCCCTGCATCTCTCTGTACTTTGGAAAGCCCCAGCAGTCACGCAAGACCCCAAAGCCACCACCCAATATAAAATTTAACTCGAGGTATATTACCCCATTAAAAATTATGAACTTCCTGGGGGGAAAAGGAGTGCATTGTTTAGTTTAGTTTAGTTTCACTTTTCATTGATGTTGAAGAACAACCTGTGCTCAGTCAGTCTAGGGGCCATCACAGAGGTCCATGACCCAGTGCTAGGGACAGGGGATGCTGTGCTGCTTGGGGCCATGATCACAAGGGCATCATCACTTAGGAAGCCTCCAGGTTTGCACCCTGTGATGCTCAACAGCTTCTGTGATGCTGAAATGAATCTAGGTCTGCTGCATGCAGGCATAAGTACTCATTGTTCTACTATCTCCTGGTCTCTACCAATTTTTTGTTTACTAAGATTTGCATTTATTTTTATCATAGTAGAAGTACCATGGTTATGTTCTTTACATTTATATTGTAGTGCTCAGATTTACTGCCCCTCCACCACTGTCCAAGACCATCTCTGTCCTAGTGCCACTTCTAGTATGTCTCTCTCTCTCCTGCTTGCCTGTCCCCTTGATAAGTTCACTTCTGTATTCAAAGTCCAAGAGGTTGTTGTCATGGCACACTGCATATTCTTTCACTTCGTTTTCTTACATACCACATATGAGTAACATCACCTGGTACGTGTGCTCCCTCTGACTAATTTCACTTAACTCACACTAGTTCCGTCGGAGTTGTGGCCAATGTCAGATTTCATCTTTTCTTTAGCAGATTAGTAAGCAAGCCACTTTGCACATACACTGCATTTTTATCAGTCTCTGTTATTTGGGTTGTTTTCATATGCTAGCTACTGTAAATAGAATTGCAATGAACTAAGGTGTGCATATATATTTTTTTCTGAATTAATATTTCTGTCCTCTTGGAATAGATATCTTGTATTAGGTTAGTTAGAACACAGGGGGGTTGATTTTTCATATTTTAGGAAATCTCCATGCCTTTTTGTTTTTGTTTTCGGCTTTTTGGGTCACACTGGCAATGCTCACGTGTTACTTCTAGCTCTGTACTCAGGAATTACTTCTGGCGATGCTCAGGGAACCTTAAGGGATGCTGAGGATCAAACCAGGTTGACAGTGTGCAAGGCAAATGCCGTATCCAATGTACTATCTTTCCGGCCCCAGTTTCCATGACTTTTTTTTTCCAAAGAGGTTGAACCTATTTACATTTCCACCAACAGTGAACTAGAGTTTTTCCTATTCAGTCTCTCAACATTGAATGTGTCTGGTCTTTTTGACTCAAGGGAAAAAGACAAGATGACACAGTTCTTCAAAAAACTTGCTAAAAATTTTAGACTTTATCTTAGTCAGTGGACTATAGCGATAGCACAGTGGTAGGGCATTTGCCTTACAAGAGGCCAACATGGCCGACCCGAGTTCGATTCCTCCGCCCCTCTCAGAGCCCGGCAAGCTACTGAGAGTAATTCGCCCGCACGGCAAAGCCTGGCAAGCTA